GGATTTAGCTCAGCGGCAAAGCGCCTGCCTGGCAAGTGCAAGGTCGTGAGTTCGATTCCCGGTACCGGAGAAAAACCAAAAAAAAAAAAAAACAAACGAACAGACATTATCGGGATAGTTCACACAACTGGAATATGAATTGTAAATTAAGTAATTAAATTAATGTTAACATTTTCCTGATTTTGACAGCTGTATGTAAGAGAATTTTTAGGAGATACTGAAATATGTAGGAATAAAAGAGCACGATGTACACAGTTTACCTCTTTTTGCAGTTTTTTTAATTTTAACATTCATCATAGGGAATTTGTACCTGTACATGATATATCTTGCTTCTTTTTTTCCCCATTTCCCCCCTCCCTTCAACCCCTCTTCCTCTCCTTATTTACAAAAGCTGTTTTGGGATTTTGTTTGCTTGGTTTTTTTCTGTGAAACAGTGTCTCGCCAGGTAGGTCAGACCAACCTTAAACTCACTATGTAGCCCAAGCTATCCTCAAATGCAAAGAAATCGCCTTGCCTCAGCCTCCCTAGGAGTGCTGGGATTACAGGTGTGCACCACCATGCCGGGTTACAGTTTATTCTTAAACAGTTGAAGATGGAGATAAATATACCCATGTAATATATGGAGTAAAAAGAATATAATAAAGCTAAACGTCCACTGGAGAATCTAGCTGAAGGTACACAGCAGTTCTTGGTATAATTCTTGTAACTTTTTTAAGTCTGAAATTATTTTATTTTATTTTGGGGGGGGGGTTTGGTACCAGGAATAGAACTCAGGACCTTGCGCTCGCTAGGCAGGCGCTTGTGCCACTGAGCCATATCCCTGGTCCTGAAATTATTTTAAAATAAGTATTTTTTAAATACTAGTATGTCCAAAACAAAACTTCTGATCTCTCCCAAACCCTGTTTCCGCCGCACTCCCATTTTAGAAAACTACAGCTCTATCCTTCTGGATGCGCAGACTAAAAAACCTTGGGGTCAGCCTTGGTCTGCTGTGTCACGTGGGTTCCGATCCATCCGCAAATCCCACTACTGAAAAGTTCTCAGAGCCCCCCCCCCCCAGCCTGAACCAGCTGCGCCTCCGTCTTCAGGCGCCCCGTCCCTCTAGGGACACCCGTGTGACCCTCCGCCAAGCCCCTCGCCCCTCGGCTCAGCAGTCCAGGAGCCAGCGGAGGGAGCCCTACTCCCAGGCCTTGCCTCCTCCACAGCTCCTGGACTCCCAGCTGCAGCTTCACACAGGGCTTCCCGCTCGGATGTCACTTGGAGGGAAGTCGCCTGGCCACCGGACAAGGGGCCGAGCCTCCCACTCAGAGCCCCCCCGCCACGGTCAGCGGTCATCACAGAGCTCTCCACAAACACCAGCGCCTCGGGGCGGCTGGCGAGGGTGTCCACCGACCCCAGTGCCCAGCTCTGGGCAGGCAGCAGGTGGCCTCGACCCAGGACAAGTACTGTAACTGGGTGTTGGCTCCTGGCGTGAGGATGGCTGGTGCCTGCGACACGCCCCTTCCCTCGGCCAGGAAAAGGCCATACCGGGCTGGAGGACTCCTGCCTCCCACGGGGTAGCGGGCAGCCCGGCCCTTGGGCACAAGCGGGCTGGGGTCTATGAACTGGGCCTCCAGGAGCCAAGAGTAAGCAGCCAAGAAGGGGCCTCACCCAAGAGCGCTCCGGCTTCAGCCTGCAAATCAGGGCCAAATAAGGCCGGGCGAGCACCCGCCCCGGCCCACCCCGCTCGCATTCTTCTGCCTTCTAAGGCCCGGCGGCCCGCTCGCCCCGCCCCCGACCCGCCCGCCCGTCCGAGCCGGCCCCGAGCCCCAGCAAACGCTCCAGTGCCGAGCTCCGAGCACCGCGCCGAAAGCACCTTCTCCGCACCAGGTGAGAGCCCGCGCCCAGGTGTGTCCACAGTTAGGTGGTCTGGCTGGCTGAGCCGGCCGCCATAGTCCGCCGGAGGGGCAGGGGCACCGCTGTGAGTTCACGCGGGTCTGACCAGGAAGTGAGACCTTTTCGGGCCCTAGGCAACAGTGGCTCATCGTCCCTTGGCTAAGGAACCACTCACGCCAAGCCCAGAGCTCCGGAGCTGTCCAAGCACCAGGCTGCCAAGGAGAGAGCTGCGATCCGGTCTGTACTGCCTGACCCAACCCTGCCAGGCTCCATGCCCCTTCAGAGCAGACGCCTCCTCCCTCAGCTCCAAGCCCCTGGCCAGGGGAGAGGGATGGTGACCAGAGGACGCCCCCCCATGGACAAGTGCTGTGTGCCATGGGCAGAGGCTTCCCCTGCCTGGACCACGGCCCCAGCTCTTGTGTTTGGGGAGGCTGGTTCCTGCCACAGCCCTTGGCCGACTCACTTCTAGGGGGTGACAAGGACTCCAGGGAGATCTGGGTCCTCACTCCAGCCAGCCCTCCCACTGCTCTCTGAAGTTGGATGTCCAGCCTCTGACCTGCTGTGGTTAGGAGCAGGGCACCTGGCACTGCCCAGCCATGGGCATGGTAATGAGGTCTGCCTTCCGCCTGGGTCTCTGCTGTTAGGGTGGGATTTCAGACACCTGTGGGAAGATGCAACATCAAGTCAAGGGCCAGGCCAAATACCAGCACTCTCACTCCTGCTTTCTAGGCCTGGAAGGGGCCGTTGATGGCTGCAGGGCTGAGGGGCTGATCCTAGGAACTGCCCTGGCCACACTGAGTCCTTGGTCCCTCAGCTGCCACAGGTGCACCAACAGCCTCTTAGTATGGGCATTTCCCTTGTTCTGGCCTCCATAGCACCAAGGGCCGGGTTTGCCACCTACTGACCCAAGCAGCCCCGCAGGGCCTGGCTTCCAGCTGGCTCTAACCCCTCTTGGGCAGCAGTGAGACCGCCATTCCCCTGCTTCCCAAGACCGTTGCTGTGGACAGGGCAGCCCCGTGCACGCCTCGGATGCAGTGCTCGCGCACACTCTGGTTCCGTGGCAGAGGGTGGGGCAGGAGGCCTTGAGGGCCGAGGTCACTGCACTGGTGGGCCAGGCCCTGCGTGCCCTAGGACTGTGAGACCAGAGGGGCTGGCGATGGTGAGGACCTTCTAGCCTGGGGTGGGGGGCCACAATGGACTTCTCTGTGGGTGGCCTTCTGTGGTGCCATGAATGAGTCCAAGCTCCCAGAGAACACTGAGCTCGGGAAGGATCAGGCACCTCCAAGCCAGCTTCTGGGGACATGGCACGCCCTGTCCTTAGCCTTGCTCACTGCCACCCTGATTCGGTGAGAAGGGCTTCTGTCCACACACCTGTGACCTTGCAAGTCCTGGTGGGTGGCATGTGGATTGAGTGGGCCCTAGGCATCCCAAGTCTCCAAAACTGTATGGATAGCTGTGCCCTGGGGACTTGCTGGAGCTTGCCAAATGCCAGTTCAGGGTGTAAGATCTGGTTTTGTTTTTTGAGACACAGTAGTGCTTTGTAGTTCAGGCTGGCCTTGAATTTAGTAAGTTGACCAGGCTGGCTTCAAACTCAAAGCAATCCTCCTGTCTCAGCCTCCAGAGTACTGGGATTACTGGTATGCACCACCACAACCTGCCAGGGTTTAAGATTTAAAAGACCAAGGTCCAGCCAGACACGTGGCACACACAGTAGTCCCAGCTTCCTGCAAGGCTGAGGTACAAGGATCCCCTGAGCCTGTATGAATTTGAGATAACCCTGGGCAACACAGTAAGACCCCCATTTAAAAAAAAAAAAAAAATCCAGCACTTGGTAGGCTGAGGCAGGAGGATTGCTGCACGTTTGAGGTCAGCCTGGGCTACAGAGTGAGTTCAAAGTCAGCCTGACCTGCATAGCAAAACCTGTCTCAAAAAATAATAATAATAATCAGGTCCATGAATAACTGAACGGAGTTACGAGATGGAGACCTGGAAACAGCGTGGGGAACGCTCACATCCACACAGTGAAAGTGGGGTGAAAAGCTGGTGGCATGGACAGGGGTTTCCTGGAAACCCTGACCAAAGGGCTCGAGCAGAGGAAAGAAGGGGCCATCATCCTGGGGCCCTGGCCAGCCAAGAGAAAGCAGGCACAGGGTCTTCAGGTACGTAGGCTTCACAAGCTATGCAAAGGTACAGGGAAAGAGTCCCTCGTCTGGCCTCGGTTTCCCCATCTCTACAGCAGAGGCAGCTGACCTCATATAGTTCTTCTGACAGTGGCCTGCTGAGCCCACTGTGGGCTGCAGGCAGGGTCAGTCAGGGAGGGAAAGCAAAGCTGGGAGAACAGCAAGGCCTGGGCTGGAGAAGGAAGTACTTGCAGGAGGCGGCCCAGAAAGAGGCTGGGTCTCGCACAGACGTGACAAGGACGTCTACCTGGCAGCCTCACTCCCAGCTAACCAGGCTGGGGAACGGGCAGGGTGTAGGGTGTAGAGCAGCAGAACGATGGAGGGGCAGGGGAGGAGGAGGAATGTCAGGAATGCGGGGTGCTGATGCTCCCTCCTCTGGAGCCCAGGGAGGCTGGAAGGCAGCCCAGGCAGAGCCCTGGCTGCCTCCTCCCTATCACCCCACCTTGTCCCTTGGGGAGCGAGATGGGCAGTGTAAATGCTATTAGGGATTAACAGAGATAAAGCAATACAGCACGGTCACGGCTGGACCAAGCCCAATCCTAAGTGTCTTACCCAAACAGTCACAGCAAAAACAGCTTATTCCATGCCTGGCACCATTCCAGGGCTCTTCAGAAACTCAGTGTCAATCACTGCTGCGGGGCACGCCTCATGTCCCCATTCCCATATGAGGACACCCGGGCTGGGAGAGGGAGAGGAACTGTTGAAGATCACTGAGCCCAGGCCTGCCTGTCTGCTCCGGGGAAAAAGGGGGTGGCAGGAGGCCCATGCCTGTGGGAAGCCCTGAATGCCAGGCCTGAAGTGAAAGCCATCTGGGGGAGTCAGGAAGATTCCTGGCTCAGAATCATGCCCCGTGGCCCCTTCCTACAGGGCAGCCCCACCCGCCTGAAGCCAAGATGTCCAGCAAGCGAGCCAAGGCCAAGACCACCAAGAAGCGGCCACAGCGGGCTACATCCAATGTCTTCGCGATGTTTGACCAGTCCCAGATCCAGGAGTTCAAGGAGGCCTTCAACATGATCGACCAGAACCGCGATGGCTTCATTGACAAAGAGGACCTGCACGACATGCTGGCCTCCCTGGGTGAGTAGGGCTCATCACTGGCAGAACACTTCCTGGGCAGTGAGACCAGCAGTTCACACCCTAGGGCGTGAGTAACTGCCAATGACCTTTCACTTAGAGAAAGGGGTCAGCAGCTAAATGAAAATTTCAACTGCAGGAGTCGCACTGCAGAGGTAGTGAAACTGAGAGACCTGGGAGGCAGGCCAGAGCACCTCCTCTTTGACCCCAGGGATGTCCCCAGAGTTGGGTTCTTAGAACTGAAAGGGCTCAGGAATCAAGTCCAGCTTGCTGTTCAAATGGACAAACTGAGGCCCAGAGGTAAGGCCTCCAGACATCCCTCCCCATGTGCTGGCTACAGCCACCTCAGCCCCAGTTCCTGGCATAGCCTTCATCTGGCGGAGAACATATGGACCAGACGCTGGTGGGGAGAAAAAGCCGGCATCAGAGGGGCTGCCATTCGACCAGCATTAGGCCAGACAGTCTGAGGTCAGCTCCTGCTCTGCCCCCACCTCTTGCTCCCTGGGCAGTGGGTGTCCACAGGCACCTGGCAGCAGAGCACGTAACCCTGAGCAGGAGGGATGATGATGCCCACACGGGGTGCTGACCCTCTCCTGGCTTCAGGCCAGGCTTACCCATGGCCTCCCTCTCCCAGGAGGCTGCCCAGCTCGAAGTGGTTACCCAGCAGGGTTTTCCTTTGGGGCCCCCTCCAGGTTCATAGGAGGTGAGACTGAGGCCAGGGGAGGGGCTCATCCTAACTGCTCTCTACCCCATCCTAATGTCCTAGCTCTTCTGGGCCTCAGCTTCCTTGCCCATACCATGGGGACACAGTGACACGAAGGCTCCTACCCATTTGCAAGGCAGCGCCACACCCGAGACCTGGTAACAGCCAAGATGTGTACCCAGAAAGATGTGACCGTGTAGCCCAGGTCACTGGGCCCAGAGGTCACAGCTTTCCAGTTAAGAACACCATCCTCGCCACGCATAGTGGTGCACACCTAGAATCCCAGTATTCTAGAGGCTGAGGCAAGAGGACTGCTGCAAGTTCAAGGCCAGCCTGGGCTATATAGTGAGTTCAAAAACCAAAAAAAAACACCATCCCCAGGTTAAAGAAAAACCAATAATAGCAAATAATTAATAAGCTCTGTAGGTATTATCTTAATTCTGAAAGCAATCCTCTTGGGTGGAGTGGATGTGATTACCATCCCCACTTTACAGATAAGGAAACTGAGGCTCAGAGGTTAAGTAATCCAAGGTCTCCTAAATGGCACAGCTAGGACAGGAGGCAGCAGTTGATTCCAGGGTCCAAGAGCGGTGCCAGTGGTTGTTAGGAGCATTTCGCACAGTCTTGCGTCTTCACAACTCTCCTGAGACACAGGAAACGGAGGCATAGAGCTGGGACCCAAATCTAGGCTTGTGTGCCACCAAAGCTCACTGATTTCACCACTCTGGAAACTGCATCTGGAATCTGGAGTCGGGCTGCCTGGGTTCGGGTGTCAGCTCTGCTGCTTAACTGCTATGTGACCTTGAAAGCTATCTCTCCTTTCTGTGCGTCGGCTGCAGAGCTGCAAAGTAGGGTAAGACTGCTTCCTTCACGGGGTGGTGACAGTGCACTGCAGCAGGACACCTGGGGCAGCAGACATGGTCAGCAGTCACAGCACCCAGCCCCTGCTTGTGCCCAAAGCAGCCAGGACAGGGCTGGGAGAGCGGGAGCCACTGCCTGGCACACTTCAGGGTTCCCAGAGCTCGTCATCAGGAGGTCCAGGGTGTCAGGATGGCCCAGGTCAGGGACAGCAGGCACCAGCGCCCCTGTGCTACCACAGGGAAAAACCCCACGGATGAGTACCTGGAGGGCATGATGAGCGAGGCCCCGGGGCCCATCAACTTCACCATGTTCCTCACCATGTTTGGGGAGAAGCTCAACGGCACAGACCCCGAGGATGTGATCCGGAACGCCTTCGCCTGCTTCGACGAGGAAGCCTCAGGTCAGCAAGGCCCTGGGCAGGGGCAGGAGCAAGGGCGGGCACCACGCTGGCACACACAGGCGGGCCAGTTGGGGACACGCAAAGGGGGCCCTTGTGCAGAGGCCAGAACCCACGTCACCAGCTCCTAATTCTGCTACCAACTATCAAAGCCCAGCAGCTTTCTGTTCTCTCCCCAAAATGCTAGAGCAAAATGGCCCACTTCCTCCAAGGCTCCCTACTTCCTCTGCTCACCTGCTGGCCCCACACACGCTCCCTCTGCTTTAGAGCTTTCTGGACATGAAACCACTTCATGCCTTTATTGCCAACAAGGTTCAGAAACCACCCTGATTACTCAGATCATCCTTCTCTCTCACTATGAGTTTTTCCCAGGGACGGGCAGAATAATAAGGGCAACAGTAACCGAGGTCTGTGCCCTGATTTTATCCCCATTTTCTAGATGAGTAAGCCCAGAGAGGTTAAGTACTTGCCCAAGGTCACACAGCTAGGAACAATGAAGATCAACTCACCCAAACCAGCCTGAGGCAGGATGACCCAGCTCCTCAGCACTCACAGCCCACATTCTCAGAAAAACACCTTGCAAACAGGGCCCCTCTGAACTCCTCTCTGGGACCCTGGTGACCCCTCCTGAGCTCTCCCACCCATGTCCTCAGTCCAATTCACTGGAGCCCAGGGAGGTGGCTTCCTGGCCCCATCTCCCGCCACGAGATCGCCAAGGGATGGCAGGATTGAGGAGTGGGGGTGCTCAATGTGTCCCAGCTGAGTCCCTTCTCTCAAGGTCCCCCATCCTACCCCCAGGCTTTATCCACGAGGACCACCTACGGGAGCTGCTCACCACCATGGGTGACCGCTTCACAGACGAGGAAGTGGACGAGATGTACCGGGAGGCGCCCATTGACAAGAAAGGCAACTTCAACTATGTGGAGTTCACCCGCATCCTCAAACATGGAGCCAAGGACAAAGATGACTAGGCCCCCGACCATCCCAGTGCCTGGCCCCACCCCGTCACTGCTCCCCACGCACTCATCTCTACCAGCTCTGTGCCCACAAGACCCTGCCACACCCGCCCCCCCGTGGGCTCCCAAGGGAGGACATGGGCCATGGGAAGCACAGGTTCCACCATGACACAGAGACCCAAGGGTGTCCCCGAGCCCTGCAGCAAAGGACCCCTGTCTGGGGAAAGGAGCCAGAGGGCAGGACCAGGAGGCACAGGAGAAGGTCCCGCGAGAGAGCCCGGGCACTGGCCATGGCCTGCCCACTCCTGGGATGACCACCGGCCCCAGGAGGGAGAGGCCCCATGCCCTGGCATCGCAACCACTCCACGCGCATCCCCCCACACACATGCGCTCACCACCGCCCTGCTCAGAGCCAGGGCAGTAGACCCCGCCTCATGCCCTGTGAGCTCCCAGAGCACAGCACCCCACACCACACTCTGGAGTGAGCTCAGGAGGCTGTACCAAGAGGGACATTTGCCCCCAGGGAGGTGGAGTCTCCAATAGAAGACTGAACACTGCCTTGGGTCTGTGTGTCTGTGACTGGGATGAAATCAGGGACCCTAGACCCCAAATACCCACATCCCAGCCCCAGTGGCTGCCCTGATCACCCGCTGCGTGGCCCAGAGCATCCCCATTCTATATGGGCCCTGAAGTGCAGGGGGCTCTAGGCTCTGCTGGGGGGAGGGCTAGGGGCAGTAGGGGTCAAGGTCAGATCTCCAGGTCACTTCAGTGCTCTGGGAAAGCCAGGTGTTCCCCAGAGCAAGGGAGGCTTTGGAGCAGTGATGAGATGGGCATCGCACCAGCTCAGGGTCGAGGCCAGAGTGACTGGTCACCAGCTCTTGCGGTCTCCCTCACCCATCAGTTCTGGGCAGCCACAGTGGGAAGGGTGGGTGCAAAGCAGGCCACAGCCTTTCACACCCATCCATGTGCACGGCGGACAGGGCTGGCATCTCTGCCATGTCTGAAGGGTAGGGACATGGACAACCCCGACTGCAGCATGAGAGGGCAGCAGTAGTAGCTAGACAAAAGAGAAGAGGCAGGACTGCCGGAGCTTCCATGGAGGGTCTGGCAGAGAGGGGCTATAAATGTCCCAGCTGACCCCGGCAAAATCGGAGCAGCTGCTGGACCCAGCTTGGTCCTGCTGACTTCTGTGGGTGTCACTTCGAGCAAGAAGCCACAGCCCAAGACCACGCCTGGGGAGTGTTGAGCAGCAAGAGGATTCCAGGCCCTGGTTGGGCCATGTGCAACTCTTCTCCATCCATATTGAGCCCCACAAGTCCCTGGTCCCCAGGCCAGCCCATGTCAGGGTCAAAAACATGCCCAAACACTCAGTCTAGGCCCAGACTTAGTCCCGACCACATCCCTGCCTGCAGGACCCGGCGGCCTCAGCCTGCCTCCTGCATCACTAGGGTGAGGGGTGTACTGAGTGACCACAGCACCAGCCTCAGGGTCCTCTTGGCAGAACTGTGTGGCACCCCAGGCCTTCCAGGAAGAAGGCAGATGTGTTAGAGACAAACCTTCCTGGGAGTCCTCCACCCATCCGCCCTCCACCCATGACAAAGGGCTCACAGTCAGGTGGGGAGGGGACAGAAGCAGTCCATTCCCAGGTCTCAGCCAACCTGGGCTTATTCCTGGAGCAAAGGAGGAGGGAAGTAGCCGGCTACAGCAGGCAGTCCAACTGCAGAGGGTCCTGCCAGAAAGCGAGGAGGATTCCTGGGTACTAGGACTAAGACAGGAGCACGTCCATGCTCAGGAGCTGGGGAAAGAGGCAACTTCTCGTGCCATGAGCCAATGTATGAACATCTTAGCAGCTTTTCAGAAGAAAAAACCATTTAAAAGAAGCTAATGAGCTCATCTCAGGCAACATTTAGAGGTAACAGCAAGACATCCCCAGAACTTTCCAAGTCTGGTACAAACCCCAGAAGCAACAAAGGAAAAGAATGACAGATTTAAATGCATTAAGTCTAAATACATCCTGTAGGGCTCAAGAAACCATAAGCAAAGTTAAAGGCAAATGTGAACAGAAAAAAACCTGTTAAATGACATTAATGTACAAAGCTTCAACAATTCAATAAGAAAAAGACAATTCAGCAGGAAAAAATGGGAAGGGACTTGTAGAAGAAATGCGAACACTTATGCACACCTTAAGGACTTAGCAACTTTTCTTTCCTGAGACAAGGTCTTGCTATGTAGCTCAGGCTGGCCTCTAACTTGCAGCAGTCTTTCTGCCTCAGTCTACTGAGTGCTGCAATTATAGCTATACACTACCACGCCTGGCAGCAGACATTCTTAGGGTGTTCAATGTCACTATATAAATTTTTTAAATTTCTTACTTTTCTCCTAAGTGTTTTATAGTTTTAATTATTAAACTCAGCTCTCTGATTTTTTTTTTTAAACAGGGACTGTGTAGTCCAGGCTGGCCTCAAACTCACAGTAACGCGGCAATCCTCCTATCTCAGCCCCCCCAGAGTGTGAGGGATCACAGGTGTGCACCAACACACCTGGCTGGAAGCTCTTCATTTTAATGAAGTAATTTATCAACTTTTCCTTTTGTGGACCATGATTTTGGGTCAAGTTCCAAAACTTTTATTCCCAAGTTCCCAAGATTTTCTCCTGGTTTTTTCCTAAATGTTTGATGATTATGTGTTTTCCACTTGAGCCCACAGTTCATTTGGAATTAATTTCTACAACGTGTAGGGTTTAGAACAAGGCTGTCTTGTCTATTGCTGTCTAGCTGCACTAGCAGCATTGAATTCTTTTTTTTTTTTTTTTTTCTGGTAGTTCTTTCATAGGGTCTCACTATGTTATTCAGGCTGGCCTTGAACTCACTATGTAGCCCAGGCTGGCCTTGAACTTCTGGCGATCCTGTCTCAGCATCCCAAGTGCTGGGGTTACAGTACAGGCGTGAACCACCATAGCCAGCCTAGTATTGAATTCCTTTGTACCTTCATGAAAGAGCAGCTGCACACATCTGTGAATGTGTGACTCTGCTTCTGATTGCCTATTCTGCCCCTCTGTCTCCCTCTCTGCTACTAACACGCTGTCTTTACCACAGCTACATAGTAAACTTCAAAACTGGATAGAGTAATCTCTCCCACTTTATTCTTTCTCAAAATTATACTATCAGCCAGGTATAGTGGCTCAGGCCTGTGATCCCAGTACTCTGGAAAGCTGAGGCAAGAGGACTCCAAGTTCAAGCTCAGACTGGGCACTTAGCAACTCAACAAGAACGTGTCTCAAAATGAAAATTAAAAAGATTGACGATATAGCTCAGTGAGAAGTCCTCAGTTCAATCCCAGTACCAGGAAAAAACAAAACAAAACAAACAAAAAAAACAACAAAAATAGCCATCAAGCAACAAAACAGTAATCAACTGACTCCAAAAGTTTCCATATACTGGCAATACCAGATACAGAATAAAGGAAACAACAACTCTTGAAATAATGTGAAAGATGGACAAGAAGGCATTACACACAACTAAGCAAGGTCTCAGGAAAGGAAACAGCAAAAGGACAGTATTTAAATCGTATCGGCTGCCTACAGCAAAACTCCACCCAAAAAGTATCTCAGAGCAGGGTAAAAAAGAAATCCACACCCAGACTCGACACAGTAATACCTCAGAACTCCAAGACAAAGAATGAACCTTACATGCAGCCTAGATAGAAAATAGATCACCCTGAAACTATTTGAATAAAAGCTGACCTCTCCAGGGTAACAAGAGAATCCAGAAGACAGAGTTTCTTAAGTGCTCAAAGAAAATGACACAAACCTAGGAAAGTTTTCCAGAAAAACTCTTTCCATGACAGTAGTAAAATAAAAACATTAAAAAACTGGGTGCAGTGTGCACACCTGTAATCTCAGCATTTAGAAGACCAAGGTAGGAGGTCATGGGAGGCCAGCTTGAGCTATATGGTAACATTGCCTCAAAAAAGAAATAAAAATTTTAAAACAGAGCTAGACTATTGAGGCTGGGGGTACAGTCCAGTGGTAGAGGATGGGCTTAGCATGCACAAGGCCCTTGGTCCAATCTCTAGGACCAAAAATAACAGAAGGACAAAATGAAGACACTAATAAAGTTATGTACCATGTTCACGAACACAGCAGCTCAACCTTGTACCTTGTTATGGTTTGGTTCTGGATGTCCTCCCAAAGCCTCATGCAGTCATGGGGCAGGTTTCTAGAGTTTATGATTGATTCATGGGTGTGAGTGCTATACCCGCCCTGGGGCAAACAGTTTGCATATGTAAGGGATAGAAAGAGGCTGCTTGCCCCTCCTCCCTTTTGCTCTGGTTTTTTTTTTTTTTTTTTTTTTTTTTTTTTTTTTTTTTTTTTACTGGGAATCGAACTCACGACCTTTTATCCTCTGCCATGTCTGCCTTGGAGCCAGCCAAGTATGGACTAAAACCTCCACAAACTGTGACCTAATAAACCTTTCCTTCCTTAATTTTTGG